GCGGCAACTGAGCCAATGAAGCCTTAAGAGAGTGACGCTTGCATGCGTGCGCATCGGGAGGGGGCGGGACATCCGCCGTTCCTTCTCGTCGGTTTGCTTGCTCTCGGGTTCGGGGTTTCAAGCTTACAAGGCGTCTGGCGGGTGCGGAGGTGACAGGGCGGGAGAACGCGGGGAGAGGCGTCGTTCCCGCCGCAGAGCCTGTGCGAGGCGACCTCTTCCCCGCCCAGTCGCCCGCCGCTCCCCGCCCCGCTCTTCCCACTGGTCGGAGGCGGAGGCCCCGCCGATGAAGCCGGCTCAGGTCGGTGGTGCGACCCCCGGGCCCTCAGCAGCCCGCCCCTCGCCCCGAGCTCTGCAGCGCGGATGGAGGGGCGCCCGCTCAGCTGCCCACAGCCAGGCCCGCGGGGCGGGAGCAGAGGGCGCCCCGGCGTGGGGTCCCGGCTCCGTCCGTGCGGTGGGGCGTGGCGGGGGGGGGGATCCCGGCAGGTGCTCCTGAGTCGAGACCAGGGGTGGGGGCACCGGGACCCTTGTGTGTGCGGGGAAGGGAGGGGCGGGGTGGAGTGTCGCCTGCAGTGGCGGCGTGGGCAGCCGGGGTCCGCGGAAGGTCGCCAGGGGGCGGGGATGGGGGGGCACGCCCAGAGTCCGAAGTTTAAGGTAGGGGGGAGAGCAGGGCGGGGAATGCAGGCGGGGAGCCTGCTGAGGAGACACGGCAGGCCCCCGCGGGGGAGTTCTGGTGGAGGCTGGACCAGGGCGGTGGCGGCAGAGGGAGATGCGAGGAGATTCTGCGTAGGGTTCCACGACAGAGCCGGCAGGATTTCCTGCTGCATCACATCCACGTGTGAGCAAAAGTAGGGCGTGAAGGGCCGTGTGAAGGCTTCTTTGCCTGAACATCTGGAAGGAGGGAGGTGGGGTAAGCGAGCCCAGGGAGCGGGTATCGGGGAGATGATGAGTTTGATTTTGGACGTGTTGATGCTGAGATATCTCGGTGGGGGGACATGACATGAGCATGTGGAGGTGAAGGTCTGCAGGACGGGGAAGGGGCTGGGCTGTCAAAGGTGTGGAGGGTGTGGACTGCACCAGAACACGGCCTCGGCGCCAGATGAAGGAAGGAGTCTTCAGATGATCTTAGATGGTGAGGGAGGCAAGGGCTGAAGAGTCACTGGTGGGCAGGGTATGGGAAGCAGATGTTGGCATCCCTGATGCTTCCCTCAAAAAAGAGATTTGCTGTAGGAGAGATCTTTTGCCGGTGTCTTTAGGAAGGGAGGTGTTGGTGGGATGAGGAGTTTCTCTTCGGTGCAGCGGGTGTTATGTGCTGGTGTTGACTCTCCACTTGCAGCTCAGCTCAGGGCCACTCCCAGTGGAACAAGGGAAAGGTCAGCCAGGCTGATGGAGCCTCAGGGTCCCAGACAGGGGACTGCTTCCTCACCCCCACCCCTCAGGGCGAGCGGGGCGAGCTGCTGTCCAGTTGAGGGACTCCAACAAGCTCTCTTTTGGGGGTTATGTAACAGGCAGATCTTGTTGCTGTATGGACTAGTAGCTTGTCTGCCTGTTCAACCTTTTCCTACAACACGTTACCTTAAGAATGTATAAAAAAAGTTATTGACTTAAGTACTCAATCAATATCCTTTTAAATATGTACACAGAGGTAGACAATTAGAAATGAACCTATTCAACAAGTTAAATTTATGCAAACATTTTATAATTGATATGACATTAATTTACCTGTTTGTTTACAGTGTGAAGTTTTATGTATAGTATCTTATGAAATCTTAGTGGTAAAAATAAAGACCTCAAATTTCAAAACCCTACTACTTCATTGCACTGAAAATATATACAAAACTGTTGATCCTATGGACAGTAACAGTTGTCACCCAGTTGATAAGAGGCAGCACTGTTTTCTGGAGGAGCTGAACTTAGACCACCAGGCTGAGATCACTTTGCTCCAGGGCAAGGCAGGGGTGGTGGTCCAGCTCAGTTCGTAAGGTCCTTCCATGGTACCCATTTCTCATGGTCTCCTTCTTACCATAGGGTCCCACGGAGGTGGCAGAAATGCTTATGGACCCGGTGCAGGTGAGTGGAGGGTGTCCCACTTTTCAACCATCCTGGTTGCCATCCAGGTGTTTTTTGGCACCCCAGTATATATATACCCTCAGGGAGTGGTAGTGTCCTGAAACTTCCCTTATCCTCCTCACTCTCTTAAGTCTGAAGACCATGGGCTTTCCCCAGGCCCAGGATCCTATATTTAGATTATACGTAGAGCAGGTCCCATTTCTAACTACTGATGCAAGATGTGGCCCGGAATCCTGGCCACAGGATTCAGGATGTTCACATGCTTAGAGATGAGACGTAGCTGGATGTTCAGGAAACTGCAGGCCTCTTTTATAGCTGGTGAGAATGGGGAGGCCGGCTTGGGGTTGGGTAGGGGTGCACAGGTATCAGACCTTGAGTGACAGCCTGGGGCTCTGGACCTCTAATCTGAGGTTGGTAGGGAGGTAGGGAAGGTTTGAAACAGAAGAGGAAGGTGCTATGACTGAAATTTTAACAGGTTCCCTTTGGCTGCGGAGTGGAAGACAGATGGGGATGTAAGTGAAAAGCTTGCCACAGTCCAGGGGAGTGTTGTAGTGGTGGCTACACAGGAGTGGTGGTTGTGAAGGTAGAGGGGGCATTGGTTTCTGGATGTGTTTTCAACTAGAGCTGCTCATATTTTAGGATGTGGAGACTCAGAGAGATGAGGAGGTGGGATAGAGGGAGAAGTTGGGGATGCCTCTAGGTTTTTGGCCTTGTTAGGAAGGATGGATGCTTGAACTAAAATGGAGGAAGTCAGTGGTGTGAGGAATTTGCAGGTGGAATATGAAGAGTCAGTTTTTGTCTATGTCACAAATGCCCCAGAGATTCCCAGAAGTGTCAAGTAGGCACTTTTTTTTTTAAATGTATTTATTTGAGAGAGAGCGAGCACGAGCTGGGGGCAGGGGGCACAGAGGGAGAGGGAGAAGCAGACTCCCCGCTGAGCAAGGAGCCCAATGCGGGGCTCCATCCCAGGACCCTGGGATCATAACCTGAGCTGAAGGCAGATGCTTAACCGACTGAGCCACCCAGGTGCCCCTCAAGTAGGCACTTGAACACCGGAGTTCCGGGGATAGATTGAAGCTGGAGACAGCCACAGCGTGGTGGCTGGGGTGTGGCTAGGATGAAGCCAAGGATCAGATTTGGGAGGCAGCATTTCTAGGTTATGGTGGCGATGCCATTAGAGGAGCAGGAATGGGAATGAAGGGCCTGAGTATTGGGTTTGTTTATTTGTTTGTTTTTTAAAAGATTTATTTATTTTAGAGAGAGAGAGCACGTGAGTCGGGGGAGGGGCAGAGGGAGAGAGAGAATCCCAAACAGACTCCGCGCTGAGTGCAGAGCCCAACGTGGGGATTGATCCCACGACCCATGAGATCATGACCTGAGGTGAAACCACGAGTCAGATGCTTAACTGACTGAAGCCACCCAGGTGCCCTGAGTACTGGGTTTCTTCATTGGGCACCTGGGTGGTGGTGGGGGGCATCACAAAGCTGAGGAAGCTGAGTGTCTCTGTGTTTGTGTGTGTGTGTGAGAGAGAGGGAGAGAAACACAGGGAGAGAGAAAGAGACGGGGGCTTTAGGAGTGAGAAAGTCTTCTTCTGAGACTGGAGTGCACATGAGATAGATGTTGAGGAGGAAACTGGTCAGCCTGAAGCATTGCTAGACCTCACGTGGAGTGGGCATATGGGTGGAGAGGTAAGTGTACCTGGGCTTCATATGAGGAGAAAGGAAGGTTCTGACTGCTTATGGGACAGTTGGTGCAATATGGAAGGGAGAAAGGGCTGAGAGTGTGTGACATCCTCACATAGGCAGGTGGCTGAGGATGAAGCAAGAAGCCGGGCTTTCAAAGCAGGGCTTGGGGCTGGACCTGGCGCTAGGGGCCTTTGGGACTTCTGGTGTTCAGGGGCAGGGCCAGGGCTGAATTGGATCCTCGATGTATTTGCCTGTTAGGACGTGAAGGAAATGCCAGTGGTATGGGCCGGGGGTGTCTGTGGAGTTGTCACTGTGAAGGAGTCAGAGTTGTGAGGGGCGTGAGTCCGACGACCAATATGCAGGTGAGGTGGAGTGTGAATGGTTGGCTCTGGGTGCTTAAGGGAGAGGGACAAGTCTGAGTTTGACTTGAGGGTCTGAGTCTTACCTCTCAGACAAGACCCGGGGGACCCCAGGGAAACTGGCTGGCTGGAGGGAGGGAGAGCCCTGCATTGCCAGGCCCACAACCTAGATGATGTCCTTCACTACTCATGTCTTATGCTGTGTTCTGGACACAGTGATCAGTGGGAATGAGGCAAGAGCAGGCACCAGTGCCACCAGCAGCTGGGGACTCTTCCCCACTGGGAAGTTAGGGAGGAGGACGAGCAGGGATGGATGTGTGCGGGGAAGGACCGAAGGGCCTGGCGAGAGAAGTGTATCAGATACTGGCACCCACAGGATTTTAACTTATGGAGGTGGGTGAGTGATGACATGGAGAGACCAATGACACTAAAAGAAGGTTTTTATTCTGTTTCTTGAGGGGCGGGAGCACACCATGTAACACAGGGCCACACGGGAAGCACCAGTTTTGGTCAGGAGGCATAAACGCCAGCAAAGGGACCCCTTAGGTCAGAGCCTTTCTGGAACTTTCTGGGAGAAATGCCAGAAGGGTAGGGTGAAAAGCTTACTGATGGCTATTTTCTATAAATTTTGTGTACCTTTTCTATAATTTTGGGGGTAGAAGGGGTGTCCCTGGTTGTCTGGTACCTGGCCCTGGGTGATATAGGGCAGGGGAAGTGTTGACTTGGTGTGTGAGTTAGTGAAGGAGGTGAATCAGTTTGGGCCCCGGATTGCAAGGGAGATATAGAAACACATTTGGCTGTTCGTTTAGCCCTGTAATTAATGGATGGCAAATAGATAATTAGAGAATCCACGAGACACAGTTAACACAAGAAGCTACTCATGAACCAAATGTTCCAACTTTGGCAGAGCCATGTGGTCTTTGAGGACGTGGCCATATATTTCTCCCAGGAAGAGTGGGGCCTCCTTGATGAAGCTCAGCGATTTCTGTACCATGCTGTGATGCTGGAGAACTTTGCGCTTCTGTCCTCCCTAGGTAAGGCCCGTACACCCTCCGCCCCATGTCCTGGGCTGGGCTCTGTTCTTCCTCTTTGGTCCAGGGGCAGCTCTGTCCTTTCCACAACAAGACCGTGGGTACTACTTCCTTCCCAAGTTTCCTGGCATATACGTTACTGGTGCCAGGACTGGGCCGTTCACACTGCACCCACTCTCCCCACGCGGTCCCATCCCTGCTACTCCGAGCACTTGCAAGATCGGTCTCAGAGGTCAGAGATGTTGAAGTTTGTCTGAGAGATCCCTCAGACCTGTCTTGTCCCTGGTTGGGTCACTTAGTCTAGGTGTGTGGAACCATGGTGCCCCAGGCTTTCCCTCTTCCTCTTGCTGACATTTCTTGGGTCCTGCCTGTGCCAGGAATTTCAGGCACCAACCTAATTACTAATTTTGGGGAACACTGGGTTGTTTCTACAGTCTCTCCTATGAAGTTCTTGTAGTTTTAAGATGTTGGATATCCTGTGTTGGGTTACTCTGGGCGCACGCTGGCCATGCCTTTTCCTTTCTTTCTTCTAGGACTGGCCTATCTCAGGTGCCACATCAGTGCTTATCTCGAGCAGTGGGGAGGACCCCGGGTACCTAATAGGTGGACATTACTGTGTCAGTGGCAAGAGACACTCAAAAGTACACAGCCCTGGTGGGAAGGAGCAGGGGAAGGGTGTGTGTCGGAGCTGGGAACCTGTCCTTTGTCCACCATTGTGTGATGCCAGGGCCAGGGGCCACACCTCATTTCTACCTTTTCTTCTCCATTTTCGTGTCTACGCTAAATCGAATCCCCTTTCCACCACAATCCAACGCCTGTTGGCCTTCACCCTGATTCTGTTTCATTGCTCCCTTTGCCAGGCTCGCCAACATCTGAGCTATAGGTAGGATATTGTGAGGTTTGCACGTGTCCCAGTTCCTGAGTTGCAGTATCTCCGTGTGGTTAGGTATTTCTAGGTCTGTTTACGGTTTTTTGCACCATGCTCACCAGTCACCAGCAGCCATAGCTATTTGCACAGGAGTGACTTGAAAACCCTGCCTCTTCTCCCTGCATAGCACCTGCTTTAAGTGTTTGTGCCCCACCACCCCACCACCAATTCTTTGTTGCCAACTTCATGCCCAGTGTGGTGGTATTAGGAGATGGTGCCTTTGCAGGGTGCTTAGGTCATGAGGGCAGAGCTCCCATGAATGGGATTAGTGCTGTTGTAAAGGAGAGCCACAGAGCCCCCTAGCCCCTTCCGCTGTGTGAGGACACAGTGAGAAGTTGGCAGCCTGGGAGGGGGCCCTCACCCGACCATGCTGGCACCCTGATCTCGGAATTCCAGCCTCCACGACCGCGAGAAATAAATTTCTGTCGTTTATAAGCCACCCAGTCTGTGGTATTTTGTTGTGGCAACCCAGATGGACTAAGATAGGACCCCTCCCTTATGTCCTTCCCCGGAGTCAGGACTCTCCCATCACGGGAGCTTGCCAGGCTGAGCCCTGCACAGCAGGCCTTCCTCTCACTGTCTCGAGTCCCCCTCGCCCATCAGCAGTCACATGACCTCGTCCGTGAGTGTGTCTGGCACACATTCCCGATGGGGCCGCCGCCTCCCAACGAAGTCAGCAGGCACTTTACCAGCATTTCTCTGCTTACAGGTTGCTGGCATGGAGCCCAGGATGAGGAGGTCCCTTCAGAGCAAGATGTTTCTGTAGGAGGGTCACAGGTCAGGACCCCAAAGCCAGGCCCATCCATCCAGAAGTCCCAGCCCTGGGAGATGTGCGGCCCAGTCTGGAAAGACATTTTGCGCTCGGCTGAGCATGATGGAATGTACGCTGATCAAGAGCTATCCATTTGTGGCGCAAACCTGCATCAGCACCAAAAGGAGCAGATTGGAGACAGCTTTTCCAGAAGGGATGAGGGGAGTCCTTCCTTCCCTGTGAATGACAGTGTTCACATGGCAGAGAGTAGCTTCACATGCAGCAGAGGTGGGAAGGACTTCCCAGCCAGTGCAGGCTTTCTCCAGCACCTGGCCCCTCATGGTGCTTTGAAGTCACACAGGGACACTGAGTGTGGGGAGGCCTTTGAAACTGGACAAAAGGATTACAAGTGCACTCAGTGTGGGAAAGCCTTCAGCCAAAAACAGGTACTTGTTGAGCACCAGAAAATCCACACTGGAGTAAGACCTTACGAATGCAGCAAATGTAGGATGGCCTTCATTAAAAAGTTTCACCTTGTTCAGCACCAGAAAATTCACACTGGAGAAAGGCCTTTTAAGTGCAATGAATGTGGGAAATTCTTTAGGTACAATTCCACACTCACTAGTCACCAGAGAGTTCACACTGGATTAAGCCCTTATGAGTGTAGCAAATGTGGGGAGTTCTTTAAGTACAATGCCAACTTCATGAAACATCAGAGAATCCACAATGGAGAAAGGCCTTATGAATGCAGAGAATGTGGAAAATTCTTTAGGTACAACTATCGCCTGATACGACACGAGAGAGTTCATACTGGAGAAAGGCCTTATGAATGCAGCAAATGTGGGAAATTTTTCAGGTACAGCTCCACATTCATTAGACATCAGAGAGTTCACACTGCAGAAAAGCCTTATGAGTGCAATGAATGTGGAAAATTCTTTAGGTACAATTCCACACTCATTAAACATCAGAGAGTTCACACTGGAGAAAGGCCTTATGAGTGCAGTGAATGTGGGAAATTCTTTAGGTATACCTCTACACTTATTAGACATCAAAGAGTTCACACTGGAGAAAGGCCTTATGAGTGCAGCTTATGTGGGGAATTCTTTAGGTACAAGTCGAAGCTCATTAAACATTGGCAGAATCATACTGGAGAGAGGCCTTATGAGTGCAGCGAATGTGGGAAATCCTTTAGGTACCACTGCAGACTCATTAGACATAAGAGAGTTCACACTGGAGAAAGGCCTTATGAGTGCAGTGTCTGTGGGAAGTTCTTTCGGTATAACTCCAACCTTATTAAACATTGGAGAAATCACACTGGAGAAAGGCCTTATGAGTGCAGCGAATGCGGGAAAGCCTTTAGCCACAAACATATACTTGTTGAGCATCAGAAAATCCACACTGGAGAAAGGCCCTATGAGTGCAGCAAATGTCAGAAGGCCTTCATTAGAAAGTCCCACCTCGTTCATCACCAGAAAATCCACAATGAAAACAGGTCTATGAGCACCATAAATGTGGGGAAATCTTGAGATACAACTCCAAGCCATTGACAAGAGAATTACACTGGCAAAGAAACTTATGAGTGCAGAGAATATGGTGAAGCCTTTAGGTACCACTCTAAGCTCATTACACTGGAGAAGCACCTTATGAGAACAGGAAATGTGCAAAATTGTTCTGGGACAGCTCGCCATTCATTAGATATGAAGAGGTCACCGGAGGAAGGCCTTCTGAGTGCAGTCAATGTGAGGTCTTAGGTGCAACTCCAGCCCCATTACACATCAGAGAATTCACGATGGAAAAAGACCTTATTTGTGCAACAAATACGGGCATTTGTTCGTCTAAAACTCTAACCTTGTTCAGTACCAAAAAGTTCACACCACGCCAGAGTATTGTAGAGGGGGAAAGACTTCAGCCAAATAATCTCTTATTTGTCACTGGGAACTACTGTAATATAGTTCTTTATTTTACATTTATGTTGTGGCAAAGTACATGTAGCACAGTTTACCCTGTCTTTGAATTGTAGTTTAATAGTTTAAAAAATTCACATATTTATGGAACTAATTTCCAGAATTCATCTGGCAAAACTGAAACTATACCCATGAAACAGCTCCTCCTACCCCTTCCCTACCACACCTGGGAACTATGGTTTTATACCCCATCTCTATGAATTTGACTACTCTGGGTCTATACGTGAGTGGAATCATACAGTATTTGTCTTTTTGTGACTGGCTTGTTTTGCTTAGCATGATTTCTCCATTTGTCAGCATTTTCTTCTCCGAGCATTTCCTTCTGTTTTGAGAAGGAATCAGAGTTGACATACCTAAGAGAGAGGGAAGGGTGTTGATGGAGTCAATTCAGCTTTGCCAGATGTTATATTATTTCTAGAGGAAGAGGAGATCCAGATTTTTATATGGAATCTTTATTTCTTAACAGCTTTATTGAGATATTGACATAAACTGCATTTATTAAAAGTGTAAAATATATTTTCATATATGTGTGCACAATGGGAGCATCACCAGAGTCTTGATAATGAATAATCCATAGGCCCTGTAGTTTCCATCTCTCTCTCCCAGCCCTACCTAACTTGCCATCCCCAGGTGGACACTCTAGTTTGCATTTTCTAGAATTTCATATAAAGGGAATCCTACAGTTACTCTTGTATAGCTGTTTTCACTGAATGCATATATGTATTTTTAGTATTATCCATGTTGTGTGTGCAAAAGCATGGCATCAAATAACAAGGCTCTGTGTTACGTATTAGAGCTGCATTGTCTATAAACAACAAAGGTGCTAATCAATGAGCGAAAGAGTTGTTTAGAATGGGAACGTGAAGTTTAAATAAAGTAAATATAAGTTCAGTTTCATATGAATTCATTATCAATAAAAGTTTTTGAACTATCTGAACCACCTTTCTAGAAAATTCTTGTTTGACTTTTTTTTCTAGTAGTGTTTTTAGGCTATGTCTTTGTGTCATAAAAATTCTTAGGACATTTAAAAATATGTGTTATTATGTAAAATACACACAAAGTGTACCATCTTATTATTTTTAAGTGTTCAGTTCCATGGTATATTAGGTTCTCCAGAGAAGCAACCATCAGGGTGCGTGTGTGTTTGTGTGTGGGGGATATGTGTTTTAAAGAGCTAGCTAAATTTGTGATTGCGGGCAAGTTGAAAATCTGCAGAGTAGGCCAACAGGCTGGGGATCAAGGAAGTGTTGTAGTTCAGGCCCAATGGCAGTCTGCTGGTAGGATTTCTTCTTGCTGGAGGTCATCTTTTCATCATGTAATCTTCAAACCAGGTGGCTTATTGAGAAATTTGAAATTTAGAAAGGGAAGCAACAAGCATTATAGAATAGGAAATGGAAAGAAAACAGTTTGAGAGTGAGACATGGGAAACAATTCCTGATTCCACTCTCTGATTGCATTTTTCAAATCTCAACATGCACAAAATATTTAATGAAAAAATTATCTAAATTTATATTTACATTTAACACTTTATGTTTCATGAATCATTAAATTCTACACCTGAAAATTTTACCATGTATGTTAACTAACTAGAATTTAAATAAATTGAAATAAAAAAACTTTCATCAAATTTTTAAGATTTGAGTGATTGAGAAGACACTTACAATATCTAAATAAGCCTAGTTTTAGATAATTATAGACATGCACATTCTAAATTCCTAGTAAGAAACAAGTCAAAGACTAGAACAAAATATGAGGAGACAGGGACTTTTGTTTTCTGTTCCAGCATGTAAGAAGCTGGAAGTTGCCATTCCATCCTGACAAGTAAGCTGAAAATAATGGAAAATCAACTCTTCTTAGGTCTATAAGACAAGTGAGGTGGCAGGACAAACTGCTGTTCCCCAAATTAGTCCAACAGGGGAACAGAGAATGAAGGAAACCCAGGCGCTGACCCTCCTCCACAAATCCCAGTGCTATGGTAGGAGAACATAAATCATCATACTTTTGGGAATTTGAAATACATCAGAACATTTTGTTCTTAACAAGGACTGCTCTCAGAAGAATCAGCTGGGGACTTTTCAGAACCTGGGAAATACCCCAATGCAGGCCACTCTAGCCATCTTGCCCCACTTATGTGGGGGTGCTGGAACTGGGAAAAATGTATGAAATTCATAGCCCAGAAGCAAAGGTTTACTGAAAGACATAATTGTAGTCCTATAGTATGCTTCCTCTCATAATTTACCACCAGTTACCACCACATTGTGAAAAGTCTATTTATAGTAGTTTATTTTACCAGTGCCTCATGTCCAAGTATTAAGAAAAAATTACAACACATACTAAAAGGCTAAAAACAAAATTTGAAGAAACAGAGCAAGCATCAGAACTAGACTCACACAAGGCAGGGATGTTGGAAGTATCAGACCAGGATTTTAAAAAACTGTCATTAAGATGATAAGGGCTCTCCGGGCGCCTGGGTGGCTCAGTTGGTTAAGCGACTGCCTTCAGCTCAGGTCATGATCCTGGAGTCCCGGGATCGAGTCCCGCATCGGGCTCCCTGCTCAGCAGGGAGTCTGCTTCTCCCTCTGACCCTCCCCCTCTCATGCTCTGTCTCTCATTCTCTCCCTCTCAAATAAATAAAATCTTTAAAAAAAAAAAGATGATAAGGGCTCTGATGGATAAAGCATACAGCATGCAAGAACAGATTGGTAATGTAAGCAAAGAGATTGAAATTCTGAGGGAAAAAAAAGTAACAGATCAAAAACACTAATAAAAATGAAAAATGGCTTTGATGGGCTTATTGGTAGACTAGACATGGCTGAAAAAAGAATCTTGAGCTTAAGGGTATTTCAAAAAAATAGTCAAAACTGAAAAGCAAACATACAGAAAATATACTAAAAAATAATAATAATAGAATATCCAAGGACTATGGAACAACTGAAAAAGTGTAACATGAATAATGGTAATACCAGAAGAAAATGAAAGAGAGAAAGGAACAGAAGAAAGGTTTGAAACTGTGCTTCTTAGAGTCTGTAATAACAGATTTCTGTTTCTGGCACTTGACCAAGATTGCACTCAGAGGCAATCTGGGCATACCGCTTTAATGGCCAGCGACCCCACGCTACATCACAGGAGCCCAGGAACTCCATTTTCCGGTGCACCCCCATGTTGTCCCCCGGCCTCCATCGGCGAAGTCAGGAAGGATCTGGCTCCCAGATAGGGGCGGGTTGCAGCCAGGGAAATACACATTACCCGGAAGGCTCTGCGGCAAGCCATGGTGGGGAGCTGAGCCAATGAAAGCGCGGCATGGAGCCCTTTTCCTGCGGCTGCGCCTGTGAGGCGGGACTTCCGGCGGCGTCCTCGTGGTGTTGGGCGTCTTTGCGTTCTCGGTCTGTTTGGCTGGCCTAGGGTCTGGGGATCTGGGGGTTGGTTGAAAGTGGATGGAAAGTTTAGTTCCATGGCATATTAGGTTCTCCAGAGAAGCAACCATCAGGGTGCGTGTGTGTTTGTGTGGGGGGGATATGTGTTTTAAAGAGCTAGCTAAATTTGTGATTGCGGGCAAGTTGAAAATCTGCAGAGTAGGCCAACAGGCTGGGGATCAAGGAAGTG